ATTAGCATTATCTGAAAGGGGGGGATCACTTGTTGCAGGATACGGAGGAGGACGAGGATGATGACGACGACGATGAGGAGGATGACGACGACGATGAGCAGGAGAAAGCTTCCAGTGAAGGCGACTCTTCCAGTGAGGACGATGAGGATGATGATGACGTGAGTGTTTTCTCTGCTCAGATACATGAGATAGTTGCAACCAGTGGTTTTGAGTTTTTGCTGAAAATGCGTGTATATATTTCTTTTTGTTTAAAGAAGGAGGACGACGACGATGAAGACGACGAAGAGGATGACGAAGCAGACGACAAGGAGAACAAGTCGGAGGACAGCAGCAGTGAGTCGAACTCACAGGGGTCGTCAGACTCTGATTCAGACTGAAACGCGCCATCACTGACAAACTGAGCAGCGCTGAGCTGAGCCAAGAGTCCAGGGAGCTCTGCCACTGTGCCAACCCTGCTCTCCTCCCACCACCAGAGGGAGCCTCTGCATTGCCTCATCCATTTCACACTCACCCACTTTATGTTGCTGTACTGGCGATCTGTACAGGAGAGACCCTGCCCCTATCTGGAAATCAGTTCAATTCCATCCCCAGCCTAGTAGTCATCTCACAGCACGGGCCACTGACAGTATGCCAAAAACAGCATCCCACTGGTTTGGTGATGTCATGAACATTTCTGCACTGGTTTCAATCTTGACTTGCAGCTTCAGTGGTTTAAGGTTAGAGTTTTAATGTGTTGGGTAATTGATTACCCGTTCAGTCTTTTATTTTTGTTATTCCGACGATTAGTTAAGGACAGGTGGCTTGAGTTGTGAACAGGCTGAGCCAAAGAACACAGTACGGTGGATCACCTGAAGGTGGGCAGGGGGGAGGGTATGCGGGGTACTGGAAAATTGCACTCTACAAAAGATTTTCATTTAATCTTTTTTTTTCTTTTTCACAACATTGTTGTGTTGTCCTCGACTTACGATGTAGATTTTATGATTTGGTTCTTAAAGAGGTGGTATTTTTTTCAGGAAAAACAAAAAAAAAATCAAGCCATTATGAATGTCTTTTTTTTTTTTTGTCGCTGGAAAATTTGAGAGTTTGTTACATACCCATGTTTTTTCATTTGAAATTTACACTGCCTATAAAGTATTCAATCCTTGGATTTTTCATGTTTTATTGCTTTTCAACAAAGATTCAATTGGACCTTTTCACACACATCGGGATGTAAGGAGGCATAGCAACATTTATTGGAAGTTAACAGACTGCATCTTTTGGGGTGTGTTGTAAAGCTTTTCAACACAGAACTGACATCGACTTCATCTAAGCCTTGGCGTGATGGAATATTCCCTCAGCTAGATTCTGTCTAGATTAAACACGAATCTAAAACACAAGACTGCGATTGCATGCTGGTGCTTTTCATGTCTACCTAGCTGTTTGGGCTTCCAGATTTAGAACGTAGTGTCAAACTGTGTAAACAGTTTAGTTTTATATTGGGACTTAATTTAGGTTGGTTTACAGGGATTGTTTTAACTTGGCCGTAAAAGAGCTATAAAGCCGGATTAGCCGTTATGGTTCCAGTATAAGACACATAAAGGTCCAATGGGGGTTGAATACTTTTCAGGACATTGCACATTGCCATGTGTCTGTCACTGAAAAATCTCATTTATCCAAACTGACGTGTTGTTGTCGATCAGTCTTAACAGTTCTTACTCAGTTCATTGAGCAGGTTGTAATTATTAATTGCAACACTTGTCCATATTTAAAGCTCAGTCTGACTCTGTTTTTAAAAGCAACGTTAAATATGCTTTTCTTTTTCTTCAGAACTGTTGCTTTCCATTTCATTTACAGTTCAATTGCGATTTGCTACCAGGTTTGTTTTTAATTGTGAGCAGTTGTGTTTTGATCTATCTGGACTCGTCGTGGGTGTTGAGCTGAATGGACTCGTCCATTTTTATTTCCGAGTTTTAATAGTATTGACTGTAATCCACATGGGTTCTGTTCTGATGCTTATCCCAAAAAAAGCGTGCACTTATTGTAAATCTGTCCCTCTGTGTGAGTTTGTGTGCATGCATGCACAGAACTTTGTATATATGAGGGCGTTTGCGTGTTTCTTTGCTTTAATGTGTGTTGTTTTTGCCGTTTAGTTGCATACCATGACGTGACAGCAGTGTGCATGTATGTGCCTGTGCGGGGACATCATACCAACACCATGAATGTAGATATTGTTAAATCTTTTATTTTATTTTTTTTCTCCAAAGGTCTTTGCGGTCATGTCATTGAAAACCTAAAAATGGGCTTATGTGACTGTGTTTTTGGGTCTCCAGACAGATTAAGTACATGGCAACTATTAATAATCTGTTAATAATGGGTTTATTTTGACCATTTTGAATCTCATCACAGACTGAAATAAAACCAGCGTGGACTATTTAAATAACTGGGGGAGGGAAAAGCAAAGCATTTCCTTTTTGAATGATGAAAGTTTGTAAAAGGGAATTAGGAAACTGAGTTGCCAGTGGACTTGGGGTTAAAAAAGACAAAAAAAAAAAAGCAACTGTAATTTTCTGTAAATACTGTTTTTGTATCGAGTGCTTATTGTTTTGTTAGTACTTTTATTTTGGCAAGCCCTCATCTGTGGTTTCAAAGGCCAGTGAGTCTTTCACTCACGGGGGAGAATTTTTGGTTAAATTCGCCTGTTTTAGTTGTTTCTTCTCTCCCTTATGTTGGTTTATAGAGATATCTAAAACAGCAAAGCTTTACAAGTTTGTACTGCTGACAAATTGACAGAATTTGATGTTTTATATAGCTGAGGGTGTTCTTATGTCCTTGTAGTTCAAGTATTTGGGCAAATAAATGACCTTTAACAGTTAAAAGTGTGGATTTATTTAATATGTTGACAGCACACAAATCACTACTTGGTTACAGTTTTAAGAATTGTTATATATGGTCCTGAATACATTTTAACCAAACAGGATCCAGGGCATGGATCACATGAAGCAAAAAATGCTGAAGAAAAGTTTTTGTTGCACTAAATTTTTTTACCTGTAGCAGTTTTGATTAGGAGGAATGGATACAGCATAGCGTCATGATATTTTGCATGCCAGTATATCAACATTCTGGAAACTGCAGACAAGAGGGCTTATCTCTCTTGCATGAAATCGACTCAACCGAAAAAACATCCAAGAGCGGACGCTTAGACTTGACAAAGCTACCTCCTACTTCAAGGAAAGCTAATGGCTCAGTTGCATAAGTAAAATAGGACATCTACAAGAAAAAAGTGTGGCTGCCTTTTGATTGTATTGAATTTTTTTCATATTCTGCAACTGATTGCAATTTGTTCAGATGTCAGAGTGTTGCACACTTACAAACATTGCACAGGTCATCTGACAGGTGGCAACATTTCTGCAAACAGTTACAATCTGACTTGTAAAAAGGTGAAAAATGGCAAAAATGGCAAAAAATATTGGATGTAGAGTGACGTATTGTGATAATTTCATATCATGGGGTGTCCAGTGATTCCCAAATGTAGTTCTGCTACACATGACTAAACTGAAGCAATACTCAAACCTTGATGTGATGTTGTAAAGCAGGATCCCCCACAAGGAACTCATGTCAGATGTTGCTCTGGTGGTGTATATCAAGTTCCACAAAATGGAAAAATGGCCTCTAGTGAATCCCTGACTTTAACCAAATCCAACACATAAAAGATAAACTGGAGGGCCAACTCTTCACCTAGCATAGCTGGGATGGAGAAAATCCAAAATCTTGTGGGTTTTAAAAGTAGCTGGAGCTAGAATCCAATAATCCTATGCTGGTGTAATGTTAAGGTGTCCACATACTTTCTGTCATTTAACAAAGTTAAAGTGATGACCTCATTCAGCCCGCCCAGGCTCTACAAACAGATTGTAGATAAAGAGCGAAAATCTAGCGTTCATTTATGGATGTCTGAGCTGAAAGAAACCTCGCTGTGAAAGCGGAAACACCCGAACTGTACCTTCAAAGTAAAAGTATAAACGCGCTCTTCAATACCTCACTAATCTCCCCACAGTTTTTTCTGTTTTGTTTTGTTTTGTGTTTTTTGTATTTTTCTTTTATGCAGGGTGCCATATAACCAGAAGGTCACTAAGTTTCTTCTGTACTAAATTTTTAAACACAGTTTTAAACATAATTTTATGTAATTTATTAGGACCTTAGATTTTTTGTTTGTTTTCTTAGATCCGTTTAAGGCGTTTAAGTGTAGCTGGTCTAGGTGGCGCTAATTTTGTCTGCTGCTGGCCCAGGGGCCAGAATCGGCCCTACGAAAATTACAGTCTGGCCCACTGGACTGCTTTGGAATATGTGATAGAGGGCATAAATTTCAGACTGTACATTGTATTTTCATAGCTTTTACCGTTTTCCCCACTTATAAAGCTGTCCCTTAAGACAAAATAATTAAATAATAGATGAACAATAAAGTTTTTCTTCACAATTTATTGTCAATTTCTAGTTCAAATTGGCTGTTCGTGCCCTGTGATGTTAAATGAGCTCGACAGCTCATAAAGTAAATATGAAAATTCTGGCAAGTAGCTAGCTGTTAAAGATATGTGGCTAAACAAAAATGTTAACAATTGTTTTTAAAATGTTGTTCTTCTTTCAGTTAGAAATTAAAAGATTAGATTTTTAAAAAATTAAGATACATTTCCTCATCTTGCTTGTTAATATAAAAATGCACATTAATATAGCAAATAGTGACAGAAAAATTAAATGAGTCATGATGTGTATTGGTATTTTTGAATTTAGCAACATTACTTTACATTACATTACCTTACATTACATTATTTTATATATTTTATAAGCATTTGAATGATTAAATTAGCTTAATCTCTATCCTTTTTAACGATTTCAACATGGACTGTATTCTTGATTTTTTTTTTTTTTCTTTTTTGTTTTTGTCGAGTTCCAGCAACTCGCTTCACGTTTGCAGGTTAAGCTTTTATTTTTATTGCTACAACCGGAAGTTAGCTGGTTTATATGCTTTGTCGGCCTCCTCGCTCGTACCGTCAGTTTTGCTAACCGACACCTGCGACAGCAAACACTTTTATCGAGCTTTTTGTTTTGCCCGTGTTATTAGAATGGCTGTAGCTGAAGACCGGGCCTCCTGCTAACGCGTTTTATTTGGATGGACTCGGTCATGTTGCCTCCTTCAGAGAAACTGCCCGGTTCAGGCTGAGTTTTCGGCATGACAGGGTAAGAGGAAACAGTTTGAAATTAAAACACACCTAACGTCGCTACACTGTTTCTTAGTATTTGAATGCCACAAAGGCCTTTCCTTCAGCTCATATTAGTAGAGCAGTGGGGCCAGCAGATATAAACCATGAAAGGTGATATTAGCCGGAGTTAATTTGCTAAGGAACTGTCACTACCTGCGTTTAGGTTCTACTAACGTTAGCTAGTCGTTCGTGAGGTAGTTTAAATGAATGTTTTTGTAAAATGTAGCTATTTTTGAGCTTTCGTGTTGGATACATAGGTATCTTGTTTATCTCAATCAAACACATGTAATGTTAAAGCTGGTTAGAGCACATAGTTAAAACCACATTTCTCTCTGTGTGTGTGATGTCCAGTAATGTGAAAATCAGGATGTTGCTGTAGCTGATATGTGCTGATATGTTCAGTTCAGGCTTGGGGTTACAGTGGTCAGATTGTACCGCTAATTATCATATGTTTACATGAAACTTCTGTGGTGATCTTGGACATGACCAGCGATTATTTCTTCTTTTCAACAGGATGAAGATAGACCTGGAACAAGTGCTAACACATATTTTTAAAGTATGTTATTTGCGACTGGTATCTTGAATATGTGTGCCTTACATCTGTTGCTTTTCAAGCATGCTGTGATTTCACTTTTATCCCATCTCTTTTAAGTCCTCAGATATCAATCTTATTACCTTGCTGTCAAGACTTCCAATAGAGATTTTCAAATGAAAATGGAGGATATGCCCCTCTCAGGCCCAGACAACACCAGGCTGGAGGTGAGGTATTACCTGTGCATACAGGTACCCATGCATTTACCTAACATTGGGTTTGTCTTTGGTGTTACACTATGTTTTTGTTGTTGTAGGCCCTGGCCCATGACATCTACTCTGAGCTGGTGGAAGATGCCTGTTTGGGCCTGTGTTTTGAGGTGCATCGAGCTGTTAAACAGGGCTATTTCTTCCTGGATGAAACGGACCAAGAGAGCATGAAGGAGTTTGGTTGGTGCCATTGGATCTGGTTTCTATTCTGTCTGTCTTCAATGTGTTTGCTTACTGTTTTTTTTTGTTTGTTTTTCCCCTCCAGAAATTGTGGATCAACCAGGAGTGGACATATTTGGGCAGGTGTACAATCAGTGGAAGAACAAAGAGTGTGAGTGTCCCAACTGTAAAAGATTAATAGCAGCTTCTCGCTTTGCTCCACATTTGGAGAAATGCCTTGGCATGGGACGCAACAGCAGCCGCATCGCCAACCGCAGGTCGGTCAGTGAAGGTCATAAAGCAGAAATTCCTGCAGTGATCCAAAGTTATACATGAAATTCTAATTTAATTATTTGATCTTCTTTTAACAGGCTAGCCAGCAGTAATAATATGAGCAAATCAGAGAGTGATCAGGAAGACAATGATGACCTTAATGATAATGACTGGTCGTATGGGGCTGAAAAAAAAAGTGAGCACTTGAGTGATTGCATTGTACTGAGAGATGAAAGAAATCTCCAGGTGGTTACTTAAAATAAACATTTCTTATTTCCTTTTTACAGCCAAGAAGAGAAAGTCAGATAAGGTATGTTTTTGTTTTGTTTGTTTTTTAAATTACACATTGTTAGTATAAATGAATTTTTCATGTGTATCATAACATTATTTTAATCTTAACATTTTTGTTTGTGCAGAGTCAAAATTCCCCAAGAAGATCCAAATCCCTGAAACATAAAAACGGTGAGTCTATCTGGGTTTTTTGTTGTTTTGTTTTTTCAAGTTCATAGCTCAAAGTTGTAGGAAACAATTCAAAGTGAAATGCAAATATTTTTCTTTTAGATGCAGATGGAATTTATAGTTCAATTTTGATTTGCTTTTAGTGGTCTCAATCTGTTACATGAACAGTGTGCTTGTGCATATGCATTCCAGGTGAGCTTGGAAGTGGCGTCGGTGCCGAATCTTACAAGGTGACAAATCCTCCTGTGATCAAATTGATTGCTAGGCTATAGAGTGTTGTAAATTCTATACTCATAAAGGTTTTGTTTTTAAATTCAGTACAACTATAATACTGGCATCAGTTATGAAACCTTGGGCCCCGATGAAGTCAGATCCCTTCTAACGACGGTGAGCAATTTTCATGAATCTGCCCAAGCATGTCATTTTTTTATTGTTCCAACTACTGATTTAATTATATAAGTGTGAATCATTAAAGTATTGTGTGTTTCTACAGCAATGTGGGGTGATATCTGAGCACACAAAGAAGATGTGTACCAGGTAATTACTGCCTAAGCCTCTGACACAAAGATTAACTTGTAATTAAACCTTTTCTGTTTTGAGAAAACAGCCAGCTGCTTTTGTGTAGCTCCCTGCAGCACAGTTTCTGGTAACATAACACCTGGATTCATGTTGGTTTAACCATCTAATTGAATCTAAATTCTGAGGTCAGCGTCCTCATAGCTTGAAATCTTAATTGCTTAGAACTGTTGTCTGAAACTGAAAGTCACAGCTGAAAATGAAATACATAAATATAAGGAAGTTGTTTTTTTTTAATTAAATAAGAAAATTGTGTATGATCAAACTAACTCAAGGGAACACAAGTGGCAACTCAAAATTGATCTCTTTTAGACCTGTTCTTTTTCTCCAAGGTGAAGAGCCAAATCTTTAAAGGTCTTAACAACAGACTTATAATAATGAGGAACCCATCAGTGACTAACCTCTAATAGTTTGTAACTCATAACTGCCCATTATCAGTTGGTCTCTGACTGTGTCCCATCAGTCCGCCCCACCTCCCCTGCTGGCTTGCAGGCAGGGAGATGTGTAAAACTATGTGGTGGGTATGGGCGGGCCATCAGTCAGGGATGTATAATGCCACCTTGTGTCCCACCAGGTCTCAGCGATGTCCCCAACACACGGACGAACAGAGGAGGGCCGTCAGGTTGTTCCTCCTGGGGCCGTCCGCGTGAGTGTACCCTGACCCGTTCCTCACCAAAACCACTAACTAGAGTGCACTTGACAAAAGTCATGTTTGAGTTGGTGTTGTTACCCTCATCGTGCAGGTGTTTGCTCAAACAGTTCACTGTTTGCTGATATGGTTGCCTTGGCTGGAGACAGTGACAGAGCGATGCTGCTGGTCGGTGTTGTGAATACTCTGGCAGAGGGACGCCTTTCTTGCCAGGAACGACTTTTATGCAAAAGCACTGTTGTAAATGACTTGTAAAGCCATTGTTAACAGAACTGAACGCTGCATGAGTTTTAAACACTGGGAAAGATCGATAGACTACCACAGGAAGTTTTTCTGGTCCTGTGAACCGGAACATGACACCAAAGTCTGTGGTTGTAGCACCCTCACTTGTAACTATTTGTTATCATAAACACCACAGCCTATCGGCCTTACTAAAAATAATAATAAACCCACTCCATACATCTTAGTCTGAAGGTATGGTTTAACAGCTGAGATGAGTAGACTGCGCTTAAAGAGAAATATCATCTTAGTTCATGTATAAAATATTTCATCTACAAAGTGACAGAAATGGTGAAAATGGTTGAGTATAATTTTCCAGGCCTTGTCTTTATGCACACGGTTCAGAAAATGAAGCTATTTATCTTGTTATTGATAGAGGCAATAATAAGCAGTTTTTGATGTTATTGTTTTTGCTTGAAATTTGATTCTTTTGATTCTCGAGACATTTCCTTTTTTCCCCCAAGAATTCACCTAAAATCAAAAACCCAGTGAGAGGAAGTCATGTATAAAAAAACCAGTGTGGGTCAGAAAGAAGGACATGTGTTAATAAGCACACAAAGATACATTTGTCCAACAACTATAAGCAAAATTTTGGGCAAATGTGCATTTGTGTTGTAGAGTTATTATTAAAAGTAATAGTGGTGTTGTTAGTTGTGATGTTGTTATTGGTATCATAGAGATGGAAAAGAAACTTAAACTGAAAAGTGCAATTACATGACAGATATATAGACATTTTGTTTGTGTGTATATCTGTGTGTGGCTTTGTCTAAAACTGTGTTACTGTGTCTGTTTTTTATGTCACAGGCCAACGCTGCCTGATGCAGATGCTGTGGAGACTGACAGCTTTGACATTCCAGATGCACAACCCTTAATGAGCCGCCTGCAGTGGGAGGACTCGGATATTTCACCTACTGATTCTGCTTCATCTAAAGCCAGTAAGGAAGGGACACTCATTTAGTAATTATGACATGTAGGTTTTATCAGTAAAATACATTCCTGTTCTTGTTGCAGGCACCAACCATTCAGATTCTCGGAAGCCCAAGAAAAAGAAGAAGCCATCTCTTCCATTGAACAGTGGAGGAGGAGGAAGTGGGAGTGGAAGCCTGGCTGGAGGCGGCGGCAGCAGCTCTCAGAGTAATATCAGTATATCGACCAAAAAAAAGAGGCCCAAACTCTCAGCACCTCCTATTTCAAGTATCTATGATGATTTAGCATAAGCCAATTTGTCAGACCAGCCCTCGCCTCCTCTTATTAAGTCCCTTCTTTCACACCAAGCTTTAAAAGTCTGAGCTGAATGGGATGAAACTTGACTTAGAAGTTCCTTAGTAATCATTTGGCCTTGATAACTGAGGCATCTACATTTAAAGATTTGTCCTTCCTAAATTATGAACACAGAGTTTAAGAATTGCGGTCCGAGTCCAGTCAGAGTATCTGCAATAACGGATTGGCTCACTTCCAGTGTAAAACAGAATTTACTTCCGCTATACACGTAATTTACGACGTATATTTGTCTTCAGCTGATATCGAGGAGGACTTGATGCATTCGGTTGACGCTTTGTGTGGCTGTTTCAATGAGGAGCTTCCACACAACACTGCAGAAAACTTTGCAGCCAATTAAAGAAAATTGTAAAGTAGTGAAAGTAGATTATTTGAACCAAAACATAATTTTATGCAGATATAGAAATAAAGAACATGCTACCCATGTTGCATGTCATCCTCGCTCTTGCAGCCGATCCTTTGCAATAAAGGCAAAAAAAGCTTAGAAATAAATCTTTGGAAAAAAAAATGAACCACTTGTGTGTAAATGATATCTCCTGTGCTCTAAATGTTATTTTACGGAGGGCCTTGAAGTTACAAAAGACATCAATAATAAGACCACCTGGATTCATACAAAGCACTGCAATGTCCTGGAACTGAAAAAAACTTTTCAGACCACAAGCTGGTAGTGAAAGTTGAGGTTTTTTTCTTCTTTAAGTTCTACTTAAATTGAAAGGCCTTAAATTCTAAAACCTTCAGATACTCTGTCATTGGTGAGCCTGTGACCGGCCCCTCTTCTTGGACTTTGCGTTCAGACTCGGTCGTAAGGACACGTTCAACACTTGACACACATATACTGGAGTACTCATCGGTGGCTTTTTAATTCTAGCATTGTATTGCACAGTCGTGCGTGTGTGTGTGTGTTTGTGTGTCTGTATGATGATTTGCATTTAGCGTGACTGTCAATTTTGTGTGCGTGCGTGCCTGTGGGTAAGTGTACGTGCGGTTGATGTGTGTGTAATCATTCTTTTCACAAAACTATGCATCCTAGAATGTGACTCTTGTGAAAGTATGTGTGTCATTTGGAATATTTAACTCGTTTACATTAACGGTATATTTAAGTTTGTATTTGTCACTGCCTTTGTGGTGATGTGCATATTACTTGTGTGTAAATGCAGAATTTTGATATTTGATGAGCCAGTAGGCTTTTGGGGCACATGTACAGTACATGTATGTTTGACATAAATCATGAATTCAACGTTTATTTGTTTCCTTCTTAGAAAGCCTTGTCCTGTGTGCTTTCACTCACTTTGCTTGTAGATTACATTGTAAAAGTAGATCAGCCCAGCAGTTCAGCTTGTTGTTAATGACCATGAGCGATAAGGTTGCATTTTGTAAGCTTGTAACCAACAGTGTCTGATGTAAATTATGAGGTTTATTACATATTGTAGATGCCAAAGTCCTGTACTTTTCAGGTCTTGGAGAAGAATTAATTTTTCTTCTAAATTGGAAATTGCTCACCCAAAGACTTTATGCAGTTTTTATAGTGGAATCTGAAGTGCAAATCCAGGATGCTTTATTTTAATCAGGATTTCATAAAGAGGGAAGGTAAAGTTGACCTATTCTGTTTATTCTTATTTTATTTCATGTATATTGAATGTTCATATTAAACATGGGGAAAGTTGCCAATGTGCCAGGCATAAGCACCTGCGATTCATCAAGAGGGGATATCCTTAGTAAGGTCATCTCAAGCACACAGCTGTCCCACCCACCTATAGTTAGAACCTTCTGTTTGCAGGAGGCAACCAACCAGAAATCAAAGGAGCTAAATATACTTATTTCAGATGGATGAAATGTGGGGCTTTAACTGTCAACTGTTAATCATACGAAGAATAAGAATGTGGAGTTTGAAATGAGGCCAACCTATTGATTTACTTAATAGTTTAAGTAACCCCTGTTTTAAACCAGTCATTTTAATTTCTTTCATTATTTGCACTTTTTTGTTGCATTTTCATATATACCTTTCATGAGGTTGGACATTTTTGTGACTTTCTGTCTCACTAAAAGGCCTTCGGAGAGAGAATTTTGGCACTTTTGTCCAAACTCATTTGTTACATTTTTTAACATCAGCGTAATTGGCAGTTTTGAAGATACAATCATGTCTCTTTGTGAAGGCATTCTAGATGCTTTTGGACCAGCTATTTCCAAGAAATAGAACAGAAAGCGATCTCGACATCTGCAACCGCAGAGGTGCTGCATGTACCAGACTGTTTGGTGGATTAACGGATGCTGATTAAGGGTTCACATTCACCAGGTTCTCTATTTTTAAGCATTTGTTCAAGTTTTGAGGGTCATGTAATACAATCCTTAAAGTCAAGTGCTTTCAATTTTCTCTCACAATCGTGACAATCTGCCAAAGCCCGATTTTGTCCCTATATTTCTGACTGTGCCCGGTTGAATCTGTCCAGTAAAATCTTGCTATGTGCACTAATGTTAAATGAACTGTTTTAGATAATTTGGTAACTATGATCCAATGGTCATGGCACTGTTTGTGAATAAGGGTAACTGCTTGTGGTTTATTTGTGGCTCTTTGTGTATTTCTGTGCTGTAGAAGTGCAATGACAAAAGAAAGCAATGTTGTGACTTTCCTTTTTTTTTCCATGCACAAGCACAAATAAGTGCATGTGTGCACAACTTGTATCTGAACACAATGTGATACATAAATTATTTTTCTTTTTTTTCCACTGCCATGCATACTGATGTTTGTATATAAATAAACACCAATACCATGAGACTGACTTCTTTAAACCACAAAGAGCTAGGAGGGGTTTGTTTTGAAATGCTTTAATAAGAGATGCAACTGAAACCAGAGCAGTCTGACAGCAAGTGCCAGATGCACATTGATTCATTGTATAATTTTATTTACACAAAATACACAATATATTTACAGTATCTTTTCATAATGTTTAAATTAAACTACTCTTACGTAGCATAAAAGAAACAGTCTTGCACTGAGGCAGTTGTACAATTTATATTTGCATACAGAGAGCTCGAGTCATTCAAATAATACAATGATGGCAAAGACTCAAACTGGCACACGCAGCACAACAGTGAGTGGTTCCAAATGATTTTAAGCCATTTTTTGGTTGGTTTTCTTAAAAGGTACAGTATGTAAAATCTTACCACTAGATGTCAACTGAATTCTATTTTGCTACCCCTCCCAATTCAAGTGCATAATGCTAATTAAGGTGGCTGCCGTTCACCTGTAGTAAGTGTAGACTGTATTTACTGTACATTTAAAACACAAAGTCATCTCAAAGAATAGCGCACAGGAAAGCATAATGAGTATTTTACAGCAATAAAGAGCCATGAGATGAAGCCAGTATTACAACATGGTCTGAACCACTACATCTTTGAATAGGAACTAAATTAGGTTTTAGTTAAAGCAAATGCTCACTCACTGCTGTTTTTTTGTCTTGTTTTTTTTAAACTGCACTTACACTCCTCAGTCACTCATGTTTTTATCTTTGTACATGCACAAACAGGCTCACTTAACCACCCACACGCTCGCACAAATGCACGCTCTCAAACCAGCTGCAGCATCTGCACCGAGGCCCTTTATGGTCAGTACATCTCTCCAGACACTCACCCACTGCTGTAGTTATTTTTATTTCACCTCACAACATTCAACTATAAGTGTGCCCTTTCTTTGCCTTTTCAGCGGCTGTGCATCCCAAATATCAAAAAGCTAAAGAACACAGTGACTCCCACAAGGGAGATGGTCGCAGGGGCGGTGAAGAACTGCCTGTAGTTGAGGCGGAAATACCACACGACAGCAAGAATCACCACAAAGACAGGCACCACCAGGCTGCCGGTGCTTATGGCTACACCTGCCGCCCTGAATCCACTGGAGACTCCGGACCCGGCTCCTGCTCCTGTTCCGGACTGAGCCCCCTCCTCTGGACTGGAATCATGCAGGGTCTGAGAGATGTGGCAGTGGATCACGCTGTTGTCTGTGATGTTTAGGGATAACAGAGTCCTCTTGGGATCCTGCAGCAGCTGGCCTTGGAAGATTAATTTAATTTGATGCTCCCGCCCTGAGAAACATTTGCTGGAAAAGAAGGGAGATGAGAAATTAAAGCAGTTATAAGGCGCTTTCTTTCCAAGAGTTAGACAAGAAGATCAATACCACTCCTGTACAATCAATCCAAGGTTTCAGACATAAGCCAATTAACTTACTTAGCAGAAAGACAATAAAAGAAACTTTTGGCTCTGTCTAAAGGTAATAAAATATGCCTTAAATGAACATTTATAAGCTGACTGAGTAATATGTGGCATCTTGTTTAAGCTTTGCAAAAAACAAAAAACATGAAAAGCAACAGTAAGGTAAAGCCTTCCAGTGTAAGCCAGCAAACTAAGTATAAGCTCTTGATAAATTAACATTGCAAGGTGGCACAATCTTTATGCTAAGCTAACTGCCTAATGGGTGTATCATCTGTGAATTATTCTGATATTCTTGAAGTTTGGTGGATTTTCACAGTTATTTTACCAACCTTTTTAGTATCCCAACTGTATCTTGTGGCTCTACAACAGCCACCTCCTCTGTGTCATTCAAAAACTTCAGACGGACAGAGATGGAAGTGGTACTACTGGTGATGGTAGGAGAAGAGGTGGTGCTGGTCAAAATTGGAATAGGCTTTGTAACCTTTTTCACTTCCTCCTCCAACTCCTCCTCCTCATCCTCCTCATCAGCCTCATCATCCTCTCCATCAGAAGTGACAAGCAGTCTTCCAGCCTGTGGTTGTTTGCTCTGTATGTCCAGCAACAAATCTGTCCAAACCCCCTCGGCTCCCTCTACAGTCCCCTCACCCTCTCCTCTGTCAGCTGCCGGCTCTCCTTCGTCCGGCTTGTTCTCCTGAGAAGGTGGAGGCGTCTGCTGCTCAGGGGTGTCGGCACTAGCTGACCCTCCACCGTAGTTGTCATGGCCTCCCAGTCCAATCAGAGAGGCATGAGCACCCACAGTGAGGATCGTGCCCAATATGTGGTCTCCCCGATCAGCCACATGGGTTGAGAGCCAAGCCAAGATGAGAGCCAAGAACAGAAGCAATACACCACCTGCTGCTGTCACCTCATCCTCCATCCCATCCAACATGGTCAGTGCACACACTGCCATCTCTGTCCTCTAATCCTGAAGAAAACACAGGTTTAAGACATTTCGTAGCATACAATTTCAAATGTGGCTCCAAGTGCTGTAGAGCCTGCTCAACAGTTTGCCTCATACTGCATGTGATAGTATGATCTAAACAAACTGATCTAAACTTTCTAAGATAACCTTGTCGATGTACACAGAACTTCCTACATGAAAACATGGTTTTTCTCCTGCAAATATGTGATTTGTTGTTATCCCCAGACAAGTTTACTTTTTTTCCCCCTCAAATAAAAATCATCATAATAACAAAACTACTTTTTTAAACCACTGTTAATCAGGGTTCTATATACTCAAGCATAAAATAGGGGATCTCAAAGATCCATTTTGAGTTAGGAATAAGTTTGGGAATTTTCCTGTTATTTCTGGTCATTGACAATTTCTATTATAATCTGGTGTTTATTCTTTGAAGGAAAACCAAAATTAGCACAGCAAAGACACTGAATGAGGTGGCAGGCATGACATTATCCAAAGGAAGCCAGCTGTAATACTGTTGCGTTTGTTTTTTTTCCCCTTGCACAAACCTTTTGGCACTCTACAGAAAGGTTTTAGCCTAAGCCAAAAACAATGTGCGCATTGTAAAGTTTTTTTTCGCCAATTTTTCTTCTATTTATGAACTGATAAATAAAGCAAGAGGGGGGTTATTATATAATGTATCAGAGACTCATTATCCTTACTTAATGGAAACTTAGACTATAGTCACACATCCATAGTTGAAGCCATGAAATACTCTAGCATATTAATTTGTTTTTTATTCGTTTTTGGGTTTTTTTTGTTGAAACAAGCAAGAAGGCTCCTCTACATCTATTCAGTTACAGCTAAACAACGTCAATTGCACTCTGAGATCTCTACAGGTCTTACAGTACACTGAACAAGACAGCCATATGGTAGCACTGGGTTTACTTAACTGTGACAAACTAGCAATTTCTCACTCCAGGTTTACTGCATCAAACAATTAATTTATTACTGACATATCTATGAAACACTAGAAAAGCAGATAAACAAGGGAACTGGGCAAAGGAGAGGTTTGGGTTATTCAACTGTCAAAATATTTACTGATCAATTTTCTAATTTCAGCCCATTTGAAAACATGTGAAAACGACATGACACAGGATTTGATTCACATGTTCCACCCATAGGCTGTATGATGACGGGGGAAAACATAAGTGTAATATCTTTTTTCCTCCTTCTTGAAGTGTAAGTTTACTTCTTTGTGTAGGACACTCATTCATGCTTACAACCCGTTTTTCTGTGCATTTACTCTTCTATTCTTGTAGACACAAACTCTAGTGAAAGCACTTCAAAGCTCAGTAGCTGCATGCAGTTGCATATTTACATTTGTACTTTTTAATTTTTTTTTAAGAAGAATTGTAGTAGGGGGGGGGGAGATAAACCTTTCAAGGTGTATTTACAAATTCAGAAATCAAGGCCTGGTTTCATCGGCGTCAGAATTACTTTACAGAAATACACGTAGCATTTACCAAGGTTGGTCAACAGCTGTTTCGTGTAGCAGGGAAGTCTCAGCCAGCCATCCGGCTAATTCAGGGCCGTGTCATTATTGTTTTCCCCTCTTTTTCTTCCTGTCATGATTTTTCCACACGATGTACAGCCTTAACCTAGACGCTAGCCACAACGAAAGCTATTCTGCTGCACTTACAACACTGTAGTTTACGCTGCTGTCTACGACCCAACTTAGCTTCCCATCTAGCTTAAGTAGCTAACTGAAAAAAAAACCCACGACCTTCCGTTGTTTACGGCTCTCATAGTTCGATTTATTTTGTCGCATAATAGTTGTCCGACAGAGCAACTGCTTCGGCCAGACATATAAAAGTCTTTATCGTATGTACCGATATGCATAAACATCAAATGATCTCACCTGCCAGCTGTAAAATCAGCGCATGGTTGAAGGCGAGGCTTAATGCTAGCTAGCAGCTGCTGCTGCTTAAAAACCACATAATAAACATAGCGGCGGCGTGACGTCATCACGGGCCAGCGGGGTGGGCGCGTGTTTTGGAAACTGTTTGCGCGCCCATTGCTCCACTTCTATGATACAACGTAAATAAATACATAACTGTAGTTTTTTTGAAAACAGTTTTATTGTTACATCGTTGTTAGTTGTTTATTTGAAAATATTTAAATATTTTATTAATTTATATATAACAGCACCTAAGAAAAAAAACTAATCCTATGATTTGTATGGCCCAAAGTTGTTCGTAGGTTCAGTATTCACAAAGGATTCAAAACGAAATCAATTAATTAAATGAAAAAATATGTGAACTCTGTGTTAGCCCTGTAATAGCCTGGCGACTGGTGGGTCCAGTGTGTACCCAGTCTCTGCCCCATGAGAGCTGAGAGAGGCGACAACGAGCATTTCAAACTTCCTCTGACATTAACATCAGGAGAAAAACTGCACCAGGAGCTTCTTTTCATTGACTTCTCTGTCTGCAGCTCCTTCTTCATTACTTCCATGAACATTTCGTATACACATATAGCACCAACTAATCCAAATCAACAGTAAATAGCCCGAAACTTCTTAGAACTTCATCTGAACGTTTTCTTGGTTATTCTCTTCCCCATGAACAAATA